CGATTTTTTTACAATTGTACAGTTTACATTTGTTTTTCCGTTCGCAAATTACACACTGAAACTACTCATTAGGTTAATAAGTAGTTTATTTAGTAGTTTACAACTCAACAAATGTTAATTGTATGCAGATACAGCCTTATAGGTAGTTTACGGATGTTATTATATATAATTGTTATTATATTTAATTGATCTCTTATTCTTCCGGAATTTTTAAGAATATTTTAAAAAATATTTTATTTAAGATATTGATAAAAAAGTTAGTTCAAATTATAGCATTTACTGCTTTTTAATAGCCTTAACATAATATACTCTATCAAGTATTGGTACATATTTTTCTTACATACAATGTTTTTAGAAAATAATTATTTAAAAAAAAACGACACTCGAATGTCCTGATAAATGAAATAACTTTTGTTGTAATCAATATTTTAAAATTATTTTTTTGTATGCCTATGCAAAAATATAGACTTGTGCTGCATTATACATATAATAAACAATTTTTTTATTTTTATCTTTAATATTGAAAATGAAACATTTACAATTGTATTTAATTTAATTTTTGCAATATTTTTAAATACCAATACTTTTCTGAGTACTTAAATTAATATTCGAAACTTAATAATTTCTTTTTGGAACTTTTTTCAGGTCTAAGAAAGTTATTTATTATTCATTTCATTTTCATTTTTTATTCGTTATGTATTTTTATTACACTCTATATAAATATATATTTTATTTAAAAAACTTTTAATTTCTATTTATGATCATACAATCAAACATATTATAATATGTACAGTAGGTTCAATTATAAATAAATGATCGTAGATTAATTTGATCGATTTGAATCAAGGCAGGTAGATATTTCGTATATAGCATTAAATTAAGTACCTATCTAGTTGCATTTAAGAAATGTTATTTCTCCCGTTCTCCCTTGTGATCGATATATCTATTGATATATGAACATTTTCAAAAAATTAAAGATTATGAAAATGTTATAATTTTAGATTCTGAGTGGAACGATGAATGTATTGATTTTACAATGATGTGTGTTTTTTTTTTTATTTATTTATTTATTTTTTTTTTTGTGTCTGTCATCACCTTTTAGGACAGTAAAACTGCTTCGATTTTCTTCAACAGCAAATTTTTCTGATTGGAAGTGAATCTAGTTGGTACTTTGGGGGATCATAAGTAAACATTTCCCAGTAGTTTTCAAAAGCTACGTGAAAAACAAAAGAAAAATTAAGGAAAAACGGGAATTTTTACGAAAAATCGATTTTGGTTTTTGGTGTAACTCTAAAACCAATGACCGTAGATATATGAAATTTTCACAGGTTGTTTATATTTGCATTTTCTATACACGGTAAAATTTTGAAAATAATTTGACTCTTTTTGAACTGTTTACGGACATTGTCAGTTTTAAATTTTTAAATTTTTTTTTTTTATAAATATCAATAAAATTTTATTTGTTGGTTAAAAAAACTTGAAAATTTAATACAAGGCTCCTAGTATATTGTTTCAAAGGCAGATGAAAAAAATTAAAAATCCTTAGCCACAGTTTTTTTTTATAAGCATTTAAAGTTCAAATATTGACAAAATACGTAAAAATGACGAAAATTTGGAAATTATTTTAAGTTAGAAATTCATAAAACATTTTTTTTTTAAATCTAAGCTTTTAAAATTTAATAAAAGATTCCTCATAAGTTTGTCTACCTTTATAAAAAAAAAAATTTTTAGAAGAAAGTCAAATTAAATTTTTATGAGCGTTTGAAATTCATATTTTTACAACATTTGATATTCACTCGATTTCTCATGTAAGATGTAACGATTTTCTGTTTTTGTTGTAATTAAAAAACGAATGGCTGTAGATACTTGAAAATTTCACTGAATGTTGATATTAGCATTTTCTAAACACGATCAAATTTTGAAAATAATTTTACTCTTTTTGAGATTTTTACAGACATTGTCAATTTTCAATTTTCTTAGGTAGTTTTTTTTCTATAAATACCAATACAATTTTATTTGTTGGGCGAAAAAGCTTGAAAATTTAATACAAGGCTCCTGATATATTTTTACAATAGCAATTGTAAAATATTTAAAATACATAATAGGCACAATTTTTTTTATAAGCATTTAAAATTCGAATTTTGACTCAGATATATTGGTATTAATATGTCTTAAACCAAGACTGACATACCGTCTCCACTCAGAATCGTTTTTCTTATACAATGATATTGTATCATTGAATTCAAATTTAATTCTATCCATTATACAGTGACCCACTTGTAACCTACTGTACAGCAGAGCGACATCCTGCACTTACCCGCTTTTTTATATTAATTTCTTAGCAAATAAATCCCTAGATGTTGTATAGTTAAACTTCATTTAACCTACATAATTATATTTTAAACTGTATACCTACTTATATTTCCTTTTACCCATTCTAATATTATATACTAGGTATTATAAGAAAATTGTACACCCGCTTGTGTCTTGCAAAATATGTAAAACGAAGCAAAACTGTTTCGCACTGTAAAAAGAACCGAGGACTGAGGAGGCTACAGTTATAACTAAGAGTTGAGTTTTTATTTTTTCGTTAAGAACAATACATCAAAAGTTATATAAGATTGGAAAATGTAAAAATATCAGATTTTTAAAAGTATTATAACTTTTATCTTATTAATAATATCAAACAAATAAAAACTTAACGGCACAGAACATAATTATTATTATCTTATATTATGTTTGTGTAAACTTTTTATGACTCTTCTAGGACTACAGACTGAGTGGTTTTATCTTGGGTTGGACCTTCTGGATCCATCCCGTAAAGGAATCCCAGGAATCCCGGGAATTCCTAAAAAAATCAGGAACTAGAATTCTCGGGAACTCGAAAAACTGTCGAAAATTAAAAATTTTAAGAGCCATAGTTCTTTGTTATCGTTGTCAGTAACACATTTTAATTTATGTATCGATTCAGTCATTGATTCCGCGGGTATAGGTAGTTATAAAATAATTAAATATAACACATCAAAATTCGTTTTTATAAATTCGTATTGACGTATTGCATCATTTGACAGTGCCATTCTCGTTTGTAAAAATTCTCACTGGGGTATTTTTAATTTTTGTAAATTTGTAATAGATAGTAGATACATCGTTTGAAGATTCTACCGCACAGTATATAAGTATATATTTCAATTATATAGGTACTTATTCATGCAGTAGTAGATAGTACTATATGTTCATGTGTAACAATATATAATAATTGCACATTTAATTTATTTAATAGGTAACTTTCAGTTTTTCTTCGAAATAGCAACCTTGCCAATAATACTGTGATAGTGTGATGGATAAAGTTGTTGTAAACTTGTGTAGTTTTACGTATTAACTATTAATATACATTATTCATAATTTATATTACTTCCATATGTTTCTATGCAGGGGTGACCTAACTTTTTTTGAATAAGATCTACCTGTTGAGAATATATTTTTCCTATGAGGATATATTGACGTAAAAAATAATTATTTTTATTTGTAAATCTTTATCGCTAATATTAATAATAATAATAAACATATGGGTAATTATATAAATAACAAAATTGAAGTGTTAAGTTATCCATAACTTAGTGTTTTAGTGTTTCACATGAAATTTCTAAATAATTTTAAAACAAATTAACAGTATACTGTTGGCGTTGAAGCATGTGATTCAGTGATTGTATATTGTTGACCAGTTAAAAATAATCGGAGGAATAGTCGCCAACTACCTGGTACCTGTGAAACGAAAACGTTGCTTTAAATGATCATCAGAAAGTATAGTTCAGTGTTTAGATTTTAAAATGTTGATGTAACCAAGTAAAAAAATATTATTCCACACAAACAGGTTAATCTGAAATGTGTATGCAACCCAGTAATTGCACTGTACCTAAACTCTAGTATCTTGTATCTACAAATACTAAATTTAACTTTAAATTTTATATATTTTGTTTGCTGATAGACGATAGTATTATAAACACAGTAGATTACTACCTATTAATTAATTTATATATTTGAAAAAAAACTTAATAATTTTGTAAATTTATAGTTGTATACCTTATAATTAGTTTATTTAAAACAAAATATTGCTAGACTTATTCGTTTTTGTAGACATGATTTTTTTAATTGTTGAATAAAAAAATAATAGTAAAATCATAATAATTCTTCACTTATGGTATGCGATTTTCCCGATTTAACCATTATTAACATTGGGTGTTGACCCAATATTGACATGGGTCGAGTCAAACGGTGTGCTAAAAGGTTGGTTAAGATAATAAAGCATGATACAATATTAAAGTATAATAATGTGCACTCACAATCGCCAAAATAATAAAGATAATAATATATTTGAAAATAGTCAAAGATAAGTTATTGTGCATTGCTCAACATAGTACCCATAACTTATAACTTATAAGTGACTGATTCTTAGTTATTTTACTATGGATTATCAAGTGTGTATTATTTTTAGGTCGCACCGTGTGGGTACAACGTTTTCGGGTAAACACGTTCGCCGCCCCTCTTTTTTCCAAAACATATTCACCTCCCCCTACCACCCAAGTCAAGTTCACTGTCCCACAGTTCCCCCTCTATCGCCTTCCAGTCAAGAACCACTGCTGTAATAGGTACCCATATGTGTGTATTCAATTGCGGATATTCAATATTCATTCATTTTTGTTTGATTGATTTGGACATTGTTGAATGTTATCCTGTACCCACCATTGTATATAAGTATTGCTATAATTGGTTAATCATAAAAAAATGACATGATCATTTTATGATTTTTAATTCGACTAAAAATATTAAACGAATACCACCCAATTGGTCGCGCCACTCACGCAGCGGCAGCGCCACATACCAAACGAATACCCGTAACTGATACGAAATACCGCATAAACAGTGTTGTCTGCTTTGATTTTGATTTTGTATTTACAACCGCTGCGGAGTAACTGTCTGCAAGACTGCAACACTCGTCGGGAACGTGGCCAGTTGTCCGTCTACAACCTGTTTATTTTCTGGGTGCACACTCGACGTCTTGCTGGCGCGGAGTTCTAGTACTTCCGTTCGCCGCCGCGGTCGTCGTTCGGTCACCGCGTTTTTGACAATGCCGTCAATGTATAAATATTATACTGCGCGAGTTCAGTTTAGATTTGTGGAGCGACTGCTCGGGCTAGGCGCGAGTCTTCATATCGTCGGTCTGCCGTCGACGCGAGTTTTAATGCTCTAGTGACTTTAACTACGATCATTTAATACGGTGACAACTGACAATATAAATATAACTGTAGTTTTTAAATCTCCATCAAGTCGCTCGGTCTGTTCGATAATTTTATTTTAACGCATTTTCGCCGACCATGATGATGGACGACGGTGAGTACCTATTAATACAACTAACTAGGTACCTATACGCATATTGCGGGACTTAAATATATAACATTTATTATGTGCAAACCATGACGTGTATCAATACACCGTAAGCCTATAAGGTTAGGCTACAAGATCTTTGCGGGTCTACGACCGATACGCGCTTTGTAAATAACAATATTCATAATTTCCCTCCATTTTTGTCAGATATGCGGCTTGTGCGCAATATTATTGATTAATGTTGTGGATTCGTAATCGCATATTTTGTAGTAGTTTTCAAATCCGAATGAATTTAGTCAGATATTAGTTTAATTAAGAATAATTGGATAGTTTTGTTTCGTAAAACGTGAATTCAAATTTCAAGGGGGTTTCGTGCACCTTGATAATGCAAATGCCATGCACAGGGAGGCCTTCAAAACATTGAAACATTTAATCACAGAATAGATTAGATTAAAATGTAATTTGTTCTGTGGTATATTTATAATTTGTTTTATTTCAGAAATTCAAACATGGTGGGAGATACCGACTATTGTACATTTTTGTAAAGTTTTCACCCTTATCACTGAAGATATCAGTAAAATAGACATAAATGTAAGTACAAAATGTAATGTTAAAAATTATACTCAAATAATGCAGAAAAGAACTATAACAGTAGAGCTAAAAAATATTTTACAAAAATATAAATACCTAATAGGTATTTAAATTATATAAGGTATATTAAATGAATAACTGGATGCTGCAGTAATATTACAGTAATTGTTGTATGATAGTTTTTTTTTTAATTTTTGAAATTTATACTAAATTTTAAAAACAAAATGCATTAATATAGTGAATAAATGAAATTTTTATAAATATTTGTATTTAAAAAAAAATCAATTTATTGTTCCTATCATTTAGTTATAAATTTTTTATATTTTAGAGATGTAATGTGAATCCGTATTTCTTTTATAATTGATACCTTGGCTTGGCCTTTGTGGTTGGTAAAAAAAAAGTATTTATTTGTTATAAATTCACAGACATGCCCAACATGTGTATAATAATGATTAAATAAACATAATTGATACATTTCTAAATGTATTTAAAAATACTCATTTAAAATGTTACACTGTTTAACTTGACACAATGAGTCAATATTTAATAAGTCTACCTATTCATACTATTTTTAACAAAAAAAAATTTGCAGGAATTTGAAAATGCAATTGAAGAGAATTCTTATTTGTTGACTGATATGGCTATTCGATTTACCAAAATGTGTGGTTTTTATGATCCAAACACTAATGAATGGTGGAATATTATGAAAAAAGAATTTCAAAGTAAATGTATTGTAAGTTAAAATGAATATTAATTTTAAAACTATTTATAAATAAATTATTTTGAAACATGAGTGTTAAGTCCTGGAACTTGATACACTTGCATATTTATTTTGGATGTAGTTAAGTTTTATTTCTAAACATGGGTGTGTGTTTTTTTAAAATCAAATATGGCATATTTTTGTTATAAGCTTATTTTACTTTTAGTTTTCTCATATTTTAGTATTTCTTTATTTTCTTAATCAAAAAAACAAATAATAATGTGGAACTCATAATTTATTTTAAACATCCACATATGATGAAGGTAAACAGACAACAGTAGTTATATATTTGTTATTATTAGATAACCACAAGTATAACTTAAAAGTTCCATCCACTTTTGGTATCAAGTTGGTAAATTAGGTGTGATAGTGGGGTATTATGAGAATTAAATACAAACAAAGCACATATTTTTAATAAATATTTAATATATGGGGCAATAGGAGAACATTTAAAACAAAAATACAAAATTGTACAAATAATATTAATTACAGATGGGTATGGGTGATTTTCATGTAAATAAAATAAAATAAACAATTTCTGATTGCTTCAATTTTGTATGATTACTCTGCTTGCCCTTATACTATTTTTTTTAACAATGCATAATGTTTTAAATAATGATTTTAATGCCCAAAGATAATTAGTATAGTGATTATAAATATTATACAAGCACTTAGGTACTGTACATATTTTAGATTCTGAGCAAAATTCTGTTGAATGTATTGATTTTACAAGGATGTGTGGTTTTTTATTTACTTATTTTGGTGTCTGTCATCATGGTTTCGGGTACTAAAAGTTCTTCGAATTTATTCAACAGCAACTTTTCTGGTAGGAAAATGAATGTATTTTGTGCATAGGGGAGGATAAAATTCCCAATAGTTTTCAAAAGCGATAGGAAAAACGGGAATTTTTAATCAAAACTAGTTTTCAAAAAAATTGATTTTGGTTTTTAGTGTATCTCTTAAAAAAATAACCATATATACATGAAATTTTCACTGAATGTTTGTGGTACCATTTTAAATACACCATAAAATGTTGATTCATATTAAACTCTTTACAGGTATAAGAAATTTTGGATTATTGTTTGTTTTTTTAAACTAATGTCAATGAAAAAATTTTTGCAAGGGTCAAATAAATTGAAAATTTAGTGGGTTCTTCGTATGTTGTTAGTGGAAATTAAAAAAAAAAAAATTGAGCGTATATCTACAATAATTTTTTAAGAGAGTTTGAATTTAGAATTTTGACAAAATTCGTAAAAATCACAAAAATTAGTAAATTATTTTGAGTTCGAAATTCATAAAATTTTTTCTCTTTATATCTAAGATTTAAAAATTGAATACAAAATGTCTTATAAGTTTTTAGAAATGTACACTATATGTTTATTTCTTCAATTCCTATACTTAATCAAATTTACAAGATAATTTGACTTGTTTTAAGCTGTTTATGGGCATTTCAATTTTAATTTTGTTTTTTTCTATAAATATAAATAACATTTTATTGGTTGGGTCAAGAAGCATAAAATTTTATTACAAGATTCTTGATATATTGTTACAATAGCAGTTAGAAAATATTAAAAATACATAAGCAACTTTAATGAAAAATATATATATACAAAATGATTTTGTAGTTAAAAATATATTAATTGTTCAACTTTTATAGTCAAGAATTGAAAATTTAAAACGAGGTTCTACGTAAGTAATTTATTCTGAAACCAAACAATCTAAAAATAAACATAAACACAGCTTTTTTTATAGTTATTTAAGTTCAAATTTAGACAAAATCACATATTAACTCTAAGAATAACGATTTTAGTCATTTTGTAATTTGGTTCTAAAACAACCCAATTTTACATAAGTATATAAAATATTTTTCCATCATGACTGATAATTTAAGAATAATATTATAAATAATATTAATAAACTTACCGGCTACCGTATTATAAATAAGTAATAACAATTTAAAATATCCTAGACTCACATAGTCTCCTCTCAGAATCGGTTTTTGTATGTAATGATATTTTATCATTGAATTCAAATTTAATACCATCCATTGCAGCAACCTTCTAGACACCTAATGTACAGCAGAGCGATATTTACTTACCCGCTTTTTTTCCAGGTTTACAACTTTAAATATTCACTAGATGCAGCAACATATTTTGATGATTTAACACGCAAACAAAAAGTTGAAGCTCTGTACATCTTTTGTAATATTATTCTTGATGTTAATCATATTCAAAGTAAACTCTCCAACAATTCTAACATATGGCACATGTTAAACATAAAGCCATTAGGTTATGACCTAAATAATTCAGTGTATTGGTATTTTGGAAGCAATAAATTATATAGAGAAGATTTTGAGAACTCATTTGATCCATTTACTAACTTACCTGTAGAGCATGTAAGTACAATAGGCTTTATAATATATTTTGTTTATTTATATCTCTATTAAATTGTTTAATAAATCAATGGCTTCAAAAAATTGTGTGCTCTTCTATATTTTTAGATTAATTTATATAATTTAATTTTTGTTTTTCAGAATGTCCATGGAAAAATTCCATATAAACCTTATCCATCTGGAGTTTTTGGTTCAGGAAAATGGAATACAATATGTGATAATATTGATGATTGGTATTCATTAGCTGATATTACCGAATACAGTAAAAATATAAATATTAGATATTTACATAAAGCAATATCTAATATTATAGTGAATCTTCCTAAAGTAAAGAAAAATAAATGCTGTTATGTATACATAAAGCCTTTAAGAAGTATTTGTACAAGATCTCTTCGATCTATGGATGTTATAAATGCCGAATGTAAAAAACTGATTACAAATTCTAGCTTTATTCAGCACAAACAATTTTCACAACATGTCATAGAAAACCAAACCAAACATAGATGTGATTCAACAAATGTATATGACCAAAACCAAAATATCTCATATTCTACAAATGTGGCCAACGATGATATTTCTCAATCTGAGAAATTACACAATAAGACAGATTTAAAATTACAAAGAAGTGGCAATGAAAGAGTGATTGGTAAATATGTGCAAAATAATATAGAGTTTGAGCGTGTACTTTGTATAAACATTGAACGGTGTGATCTACAAATTCCTCATCATTTAAAAACCTTTAAACGTAAAATACGATCCTCCACAAAAAGAATGATTTAAATCATTACCCCCCTTAAATGTAATTTATCTTCGTATAATTTTATTTTTTTCAAATTACTATATATCAAGATTGGATATATTTTATTTGAAGTGTTGTACTCATTAATATAGTTAGTATTAATATTGATTTCTTTGAATCTGAATACTTGTTTTAAAATTTTTACTCTATAGGATATAGGTTTTGCTTTATTTTTACACGTATGATATTATATTAAGATTAAGTTGTATATTTATGTATTCATTGTTTACCTAATAAAGACTTACCAATGACAAATTGACTGTACCCTGTACTTCTATAGTCTATTCAATATTGAACGGTAGTCGTCTATTCAGGGTGTGCTTTCTTTCCAAAGTAAACATTAACCTTGCTTTACAATTCTGTGGAGGAAACGTCTGTCTGTCGCCCTTCAACAACTTGTTATAACTAACTACTGGTCTTATGTTGAATGTAGTTTATTTATAATATTTTAATGGGAAGACATATCTTTAACCTTGTATACCTTGTATTACTTCCATATAAGAAAATAGTAAATATATATACAAAATTATTTTATCAAGAAAAATGACAAAAATATTTGTAGTATCATAGTATTGGACATGGTCTTAGATTATTGGTATTGGATTATTTTAAATTTTAATGATTATCTAAGTTAGCATTTTAGAAAAATTTTTTTTCGATATTTAGCGTCTGCAATTTTTCTTATGACTTTCAAATGAAATATTGCAAATCAAATTTATATAATACGTCAATTAAATAAATATATAACTGTGAAAATGGTTGGTGTAAAGTATTATATGAGCTCAGTAGTATGCTCAGAAGTTTTCAATTTGGGGGGGGGGGGGTATTTTATAAGTAATAATCTGGGTTTTTAATATGAGTGAAACAGTAGGTAACAACTAACAACTAAAAGATTAAGAAAATAAAATTGTCACAATTATTATAATATTATTTTTCTATCAAGTAAATTATATTTATTTAAATTACTGTCTCTACCTACCCTCTCAATTACCCAAATCTATAATGCCATTACAATTTTTTTTTTTTAGTTTAAGACTTTTTGACTTTGGCCTATTTGAACTAGAAGTAGGAATGCTTGAAAATAGAAGATCTAGATCATCAATTTCATGTTAAGAATGTTTTTTTCTGTTAAAAAAAAAAAAAACTATGTACTACAGGTCTTATTATCTGTTGAAAACTATTAATTTGGAAAATTGATATTTGTAGAAACTAGAAACGTTGGAGTATTTAGTTTTATAAAAACAATTTAACAATTTTTTGATGAACTGTTTACTTGTCTTATAAGTTATAACAAATTATAAACAAGGAAACACACAATGACATGTATAGGTCATACTGCATCCTGCCATATATGAAGAAAATTGTCATTACTCTGACAAAAATTATTTCGTCAATTTATAATATAATGATGATTATTGTTAGACAAATAAGTAGTAACTAATTACTATTTCTATACAACATTAAATAAGCTAAAGATTATTTCATAATTCTAAGTTACAGCTGGGAATCAAATAACGAAGTAGGTACCTACCAATTTATTTTATAATCCTCAGTATGCAGTATAGGTATGGTACAACAATTTTTTATCTATTGATAATTTTTACCTAGGTATTTTTGTGCCAATGCTAGTAGTCGACTGTGTTAATATAGTAGGCATAAACATAATGCTTTTAATGCTCATTCGATGATAATCATAGTTTTAACAGACAGAAGAGGCCCATCAAAATCAGCAAATAACAAAAGTTTAAAATTATAACCAAATACTTGGGTAGATAATACAAAATGATGGGCTCATGATCGGGCCATTTTTATACAGACAAAAATAAATGAGACGACGCAATGTGGCTTCCCTTTCAACTTTTCAAGTTTTTGTTTGTTCCACCATTTTTCATCGTCGATGTTTTTAATGTTTTTATCTGTTGAAGTTTTTTTTAATACCGTCAAATGGGGTGAATAGAAACAGTTTCAAACTTCTAAAGCTTGTAGCATCTTAAATATTTAACATAGAATAATGAGCAATACTTTAAAATATGGGTCTCTGTGAGTACTTTAATATAGTATCATTGATAACATTTTATATTTAAAGATTGATTTTATATATTTTTTTAAGTGCTTTGTTTCTATTCACCTGCCGAGTGGGGTGAAAAGAAACATATATTGGTTTTTACCAACTTTTTCGATTTAAACTCATGTAAGGTGAATAAAAACAAATAATTAAATTTTTAAAAATATTTATTAAATATTCAACACTTAATTAATTAGTTTGGTAGTTATCACAGTTTCTTTACTGTAGGTAAATACTATAGGTTACAATATAACAATAAGTATGCATTTGATACAATTTAACAATTTAACACAGATACTTTTCTGTTCACTTATCACAGTTTCTTAATGTAGGTAAATACTGTAGGTTACAATAAACAATTTAAACAACTTAAACAATTTAACACAGATACTTTTCTGATCAGTCTTAGAATTAAAATTAAAAACTAAGAATTAGGTGCAAACAATTTACCTAGTGCCTACACAATTTAACAAATATAAACTTTAATATTTAATTAGGAACATTTATAAAGTCTTAAAGTCCAATTGGAACTTTAATAAACCACGTTTGTAAGCTGTTGGTTTATCTAGCCTACCAACAACTTGATGACACTCAAACTCACACTGATCTTTTACATTAGGAAAACAATAAATGAAACCATTGTCTTCCCTAGTAGATTTTCCTCTGAGAAATGTACCTTTATAAATGTCACCATTTTTCTCAATTACTTGACCAACATAATATTTATAACATATTTTACTAGAAGAAGGTTGTTTAGTATTTATTTGAAAACTAATAACAAACCAATCATCTGTTAAAATTTCAGATTTGCTTTTTATTGGATACACATTTTGAAATATTTTTCCATGCATTTTAACGAATGCAGGTTTTTCAACTGAAGCGACTTCAGAAATACTGCTATTAGTATCACTAAAACTTTTTTCTTTGTCTTCTTCCATATCTTCAACTTCTTTAACTAATTCTGGGTCATCTTCATTTTCAGATGTAATAGTTTCTACTTGAATTTTCGTCATTCATAAAATTCGTCTTATTCTTTTTAAATAATTCATCAAACGTACGTCTATTACTCTATTCCATTGTTTCCGTTCCCCGTCGATTCATTTATTGTGTTATTAATAAATATTCCATACTAATATGCTACCAATCCTGATAGGTATGGTATATCTAGTGACTAGAAATAATTTAAAATTTAAATGTAAAATAATGTAATTACTGCTTACATTTCATAGTAAATTATATTCTGAAATATAAAATTGATTGTCTAATAATATTAACTAATCACTAATGTATTATATATTTTTTCACACAACTAGCTGTTTAAAAAATTTTCATATCACTATAGGTATAATACTAACTCGTACCTCTAAATATATTAGACATAAGATTACTCTTTTAAAGTTTGTTTGAATAGGAGGAGTATTAAAATAATTCAACAATTTAAAACAAATTATCATCTATAGAAGAAAATATAGTTAACAACATGACAATAAATTATCATTTAAGACTACGATCAAATTTCATCTGTGCTTTTAATAAATAAATAATAAATAATATATGAAAAGTCCCCCGTCGAATGTGACGTTTAGGCAATCAAACTTACAGTAAACCGGGCCTACACCTTGTATATAGTAATATTATCGCCTTGTTTCGGGCTATCGAGATAAATCCTACAGACGTCGTAAACTACTGAAATATTGTTGGAGTATTGAAAAAAAAACTATCAGACTTTTTGGCCTTATCATAAAAGTATTATTGTCAAGTGTTCTAATGCGTTGGTCATAAATTAATTTAATAATATTATTAATTTATAGTTATTAGCGTTGTTAAAATATTCACGATATTATTATTGTTATCTCCGAGATAACGTTATCTCAGCTCAATGATTTCACGTCTTTCGCCGTCAAATTCTTTGATCATAATAGGTAACAATAATTTAGGTGGCAGAGACTGAAGCGTACCCGATTCTCCATTAGCTATACAGTGTAATTTTGCTCTAAGGTCATAGGTGTACTCACAGAACGTGTGTCATAAAATCAAACCGACCATGTCGTGACACGGTGAATCGATAATACTGCATTGTCTCATCGTCTACGATCGATCGTTACCAATCATGTCGTCCGACGGTCGCCAGTCGTAAGTCGTCAGTTGTAGGTCTAGTGCTACAACTCGTACTACGCCGACAGCTCGGCTGCAGGTAAAACGATTTGGATTTTTTTATCACCATTATTATTGACTGTTGTGATGCCGATAACGGTTTGTTATCGATGTTGTAGCCCCGAGTCCTCGTAATCGGCGGTCGGTCAATGTTCATCGTTACACGGCCGTTTGGCGGATGGCGCTTGCCCGTGTTGTCGGCCGTACGCCATCACATACCTGGTCGCAGCCGCCCGTCGCCGCAGTCGATTATCAGTAGACTCTGCAGCTCTAAGCCCCGCGCCCGTTCCAGGATGTCTTTGCCCCGTCTGCCCGCCATCAGTAGCGTCTCACCCAGAGTGCTACGGGTATTGGGATGCAATCCCAGTTTCATGACTCTACAGGGTACGAATACTTATGTGATTGGCACGGGTCAGCGGTATGTTTAACGCAGCGGCATATCAAATATGTACAGGTTTGAAATCTGGTTGTATACCTTGTCTCAAAAGAGAATAATCAGTCGGCTGATCAATTCACGCCAGTGCTTCAACCAACTGCTCGATGTTAGCATGATAACGTGGTTCTTGAAGCTCCAATTGCATCATTCATGATGCACAAAAAGTGATTGTTCTCATTTGAGATAGAGTATAGTTTTTTTCCAGTCGAATTAAGCATACTACGCTATGCAGGCTAAGATCAATTCAAATTGAAAAATTAAACCAGTTACCTAAATAAAACAATAAATTATTAGGTAAAAATATTTATTTTTATTAAAAAATCAATCTCAGTCGTTGTTGCTACCGTCAGATTGTCCATCTACATTTTTTTTTTGTGTTTTTCATATTTTATAAAATTATGAATAATGTCTTCAAAGCCTAAATATTTGATAAATTTGTTTTCAATGCTTACTATCCAGATGTGTTGCAGATTCTACTCTGATCATGAAGACCTTTATACCTTTTTTTAGTAGTTTTAATTAATAATTATTAGATCTTTCACTACTTTCACTACAGATAGTACTAAGCAAAGGAGAAAGATACCTATAAATATTAATAACCTTTTGACATTTGAAAAAATCTGAGCTATATTTAAATCAATCAGTACAGTAAAATATTCTTGATTTTATTTTTGTTATGTAGGTACTAAAAATTAACAATGATGAAAAATTCAATAATTGTTGAAATTTTAGGTAAGTTCTGCTTACAAAACTTTTGTACATTTTGGGAACGTAAGCTAATAATTAGAAATATAATATAAATAAAATAATATTATAATAAAATAGTTATAATAGTAATATTATAAATATAATAGTCCAGAGACGCAATCAGTTCTGTCCTGGTTGTGTTTTAATTATCATAACCACTATCTACCTAATAAAATAAATTATTTGACATATATATATTTGAATGTCATACTAACCCTTGTATGTAAATTAAAATTGTTTTAATTTCAAATTATATATTTACCTGATTTTTTAATACAACATTTTGTTACAGACGTATTTTGATTGATGCTGGAGAGCCAAATTTTCCAGAGTATATAAAAAATCTTCGAGAAACAATGATAAAGTATAAATTTCAACTCGATCATATTATAATATCACATTGGCACTCGGATCATATTGGCGGGGTGAAAAATGTGCTGGATATGATTGCTAATAAAAATGGTAATATATTAAATATGTACCTATGTTTGTGATTTGATTACAGTAGAATATATATGTTTTAATGAATCTGTAGCCAATTTTAGTATGTCAACTTTTGAAAGATCAATGAATACAAAAATAATTTTTCAAAAATTTAATGTTATAGAATATTTTAATTTAAACTAACCTAACCATAATTTATGTGAGTAGGTAGCTCCTAGGCATACAGTTATTTCTGTGTATTATTATTAACAATAAATAGCATAATATACATTAAGTACTAACAACTTTAAGTTCTCGGCAATACATATCTAATCAGAAGAATAGCATAATATAATATATTGGCTAGTAAATTATATACATAATAATATATAACTAATACCAGTTTACAAATGTATACTTTGTAGACATTTAAAAAGAAGCGGTTATGCTATTTGAGTCAATTTAATTGTTATCAAGATTATATAAAATCAAAATAATATGAATGATTATAATAAGGTTAAAAATATAATAATAATGTTTGAAAATGGAAAACAATGTTGATTATGACTTAAATGAATTTCTTAGAGCCATTGATAAATTGATTACAATTTGTGCTTTTAAAAATTATATTATGTATTATTATTTAAAATAAGTCTTATCTTATTTTAATTGTTTTGAAAAATGTTATCCATCAAACAGTAAACTTGTATTTTATTCATTATTATTATTATTTAATTGTTCTAAAATTAAATGGCTTCTAATACAACTAAGATTAAAAAAAGTATAATCTAAAATGTTTTCATTATTCTATAATTTTTTTTATATTATATACTTAGATGGGAACCATACATGGTTCTAAAAGATGACTATTCTATAAAAGTAACTTTTCTTAAACTATGTATAGTATATTTTATCAAAACAAAATAATATATTTATAATAAGAGTATAAATATTAATACTATTAATTATATTTCAGAATGTAAAGTTTGGAAGTTCAATCCCAAAATAGGCAAAAAACGCGATTACAACTTTCCATTACATTTTGTTGAAGACAAACAAAAGTTTTGTGTTGAAGGTGCTACATTAATGTAATTATTGCATTTTCTTACTTAATTTTTAAGCCGCCATTTGTTTTGTACTCCTTTGTTCGAACGTCAAGAGGTTCTCTCACTTTTTTTAATGTCATATAATATGTTTTAAATTACCAGTACACATTTATTATGTAATTTGTATTAAATATTCTGTTATGAGTACTTATAAACCATATATATTCAGTATTTATATTTTCTTTTACACAAAATATTAAAAATATTAAACATATTTTGTCACATTATTTTAATTTTTAATTTCTTCTCTTAGATTAAATGTATCTGAAAAGGTGTGGTATAACTACTAGGCAATATACCAACGTAAAAGGCAGTAGTGACCAAAGTAATATCTCAGTGAGAGAATCTTTCACCACGCAACCAATGACGGTTTAACATTGCATAAAAAATTGCAATTTTACTATTTAATATTTTTAGAATTCATCATACACCTGGACATACAACTGATCATATAGTCATATTTTTGGAAGAAGATAATGCTTTGTTCTCTGCTGATTGTGTGCTTGGAGAGGGAACTACTGTGTTTGAAGATCTAACAGAATATTTGAACTCATTACAATTGATTTTAGACTTGAACCCAACTGTTATATTTCCTGGCCATGGCTCCGTTATAAAAGTAATTAAAATATATAGCGATTTTGATGACATAAAATGGTAAGATACTTATTATCAGAGTTCAGAACTTCATGTAATTGCATATTTCATAGGAAACTGCATATTCAAGATTTCATTTAACTTAAATTTATTTCTTAATACATGCAACTCAAATCCAAAAATGTATTGTGCATTAGTTGTTTGCAAATTTTTTATACACTGCATTAAATATATTTGTGTGTTCTACAAACTATAAACGTGAACGATTAAATTATAATAACATAGTAAAAATTGATATTTTTAAAACTTTGATATCATACACATAATTTGTATAATAAAAAAAAATTATTATAATTTAAAGTTAATTACACTACATATAGTGCAGGCAGATTACACTTTTATATTTTGTATTCGTCTTCTTCTTTTGCGATTTCATCTAATAATTCTGAAAGTGTACAATCTTCAGTACAATCAACCTCTATTTCTATAGAATTAGTGCACCATTGGTCTTTGCAATGTCCACATATAATTGAGCACTTAAGACCTGCTTTTCGACAACCCCAGTTTTTACCACAACCTTTTGTACAACTATATGATATACATTTAAGTAACTGATCGGGTGGTGGAGCTTTCAGTGTGGTAACTGGTAACAAAATATTATTTTGAAATGTCCATCCCCAATCCTCCGGTTTTTTTATACGACCAAGCTATAACTGCACTTGCAAGTAAACTCTATGGAAATGTTGTCTGACATCTTCTTCTGTTGGAGGAAGTGGTGCAAGATTAATTTTGTTTTTTGTAGCAAATTTTGTAAACAGTTGATAACGTTGTTGGTTCAAAGACTTCTCATCTTCTGATGTACCATATAAATATAAAAAATATTTAATATCATTTTTTGCTATCTCCTCATGAGATGAATTAGGATTATTAAAAATTGAAACGATTGAGTTTATATCCTTCTGTTTATGTAGTATATATTTTTTTCCTTTTTGGAATAAGGCTGACGTTGTATCACAACCACTTAGTGCATGATAAAACAATATTTTATTTATCGTGGTTTTCTATGAATTCAGTACTATACATTTTTTTTCCTAATTTTGCTGACTAGGTTTTAGAAAATAAATATTTTCTTTAGGAGTTAAAGCAAAAAGAAGTACTAACAAGTCAATGTCCTCACCAAACAAGATAGTTTTAGGATGATAACTTGATACATTAATGGCAGTGCTAACAATTAATGTATCGGCATTATAATTTGCTATTTTAACAACAAACCCATGATTAATTAATTTTATTTTAAGCATTTAAATAAATCGCATTTTATTATTATCGTTTGATAAAAAATTCTCTTTTGAAACAGGAACTATCATATGGCTTTCAAAAAACACATCAATACACTTTTTTTTCAACCTTTGGCGTTGACGCTCTGAACTTTTTATACTTTTTGCATTGTTGTCATAATCATCAAACACAACAATTGCATCAATACCTAAATGTTTTTCTACATAAGTAATATAAGACTCACAGTGGGTTATGACGTGTCGTACCAAATTTCAGATAAAAGTATGTGAGACCAATTACCTATTCTCTCGCTTATTTACTATTTTTATTTGTAGTATGTTTTGTTATGTTATTATAATTGAATCATTCACCTTTAGTTTCTAGAACACATAGACATATTTAATACAGTATTCGATTTTTGGAATATTTTTTGAGATATTCAAAAAGCTCAAATTTTTAAACTTTCATGAGCTTATAAAAAGAAAGCTCCAGTCTGATCAATGGGGACTTTTAGTATGTTAAAGGGCATATTTTATTTAAACTTAAAAAAAAAATCTTGGTTGGAATTTTTTTCCGCCATTTTCAAAAATGTTGTCTCTATTGCCTGGCCTATAATATACATTTGTATTTTTGAATACTTTGTGAATTTTTTAAATTTTTATTTCCATAAAAATGCATTTGTGTGTAAAGAAATATATATTTAAGTTTTTCTTTGTACAAGAAGTCTCAAGCCCGGATTATTAAATTGAAATTTTGTTTGTATAGTGTAATACGTTTTATTTTATTAAAAATAAATTAAGGCTGGGCAAAAACGAGTTAATGAGTTAAAAGTAAAGCTAATTTTAATGTGTTAACGTAACTTACCATCTTGTTGTTTTAAATAAATTAACATTAACTTAACTAATTAACCTCCACTTTAACTTATAATTAACTTTAAATTTTTTGAATATTCCTAACTAAGTAAATTTTTAATTTTCATATTATCTATAGAAATATGGAAAATAAAAGAAAAAGAAAATAATGATATATTTCCAAAGAATTGCAGATTTTGTAGCTTAATTTTTATAAATATTAACTAAATCATCATATGTATTACCCAGGGCTCGAAACTTAAAGGCTAAAACCGCTATTTAGCAATAAAATATGTGCACACGCATTCATTAATAAAAATATGCAGTTATTTTGTCTTATAAACTATGTTTTACATGGAATAAACTTGAAAAAATATATTTATTAAAAAAAATAATTTTTCAGTAACAATTTTTTTGTATATAATTTACGTCTGTTGATCTCGAAGTATTATTAATAGAGTCCTAAATTTAAAAAAGTTTAATGTAATTAATATTGCGAAAATTAAATCATGGTATTATATTTATAAAAATTAAATTTTTTATCAGGTATTGAAAATTGTTTTAATAAGACTTGCTCGATCATAACAATTGATAGGGTATGGCTACTTAATATAGTGTATATTCTTTTATATTTTATAATATTGTCTATATACTTAAGGGGATCGGTGGCGGTGACGGCTGTCTTTGCCTAACACACGCGCAACATAAGAATTCAGAGGTGTTTTTCGGCAAACGTACCGATTGATAAAGTGAAGCTTTTAGAATTCTGAAAACAGATTTGAATTTATCGTCAAGTCTACTTGAGATCGGCCTGTCTACATTTTTGATTTTAGATTCTGAGTGAAACGATAAAAAAAAATTAAAATTAAAAATAAAAAAACATTCATCGTTTCACTCAGAATCTAAAATCAAAAATGTAGACTGACCGATCTCAAGTAGACTTGACGACAAATTCAAATATGTTTTCAGAATTCATATCGCTTCGCCGTATCAATCGGTACGTTTGCCAAAAAACACCTCTGAATTCTTATGTCGCGCGTGTGTTAGACAAAGACAGTCGTCATCGCCACCGATCCCCTTAAATTAATACGAATTTAAGGCTTTTATTTATTAAACATGCATTTTCACTATGGCCTCTGTCCCAGTGGGCTTCCCCCTTATACACACCACTGCCTACTTATTAATTATTAATACAATGGTTATGAAGTATGACCGTTTCAATTTATATGTTATAATATTATAATCATAAAGATATCTAACTTAACCTATATTGGTTTATTATACATTTAAACAGTTTTTACATTCCTCGCGAATTAAACTGCCACAGTATTATTTAGTGTTTATTTCCCCTACTTGCCAGTTAGGACGATCAGTTATCTATAAACTTATTTTATTACCATTATTTATTCATGTAAGAATTGGTTCTTTGTACTTCTATCTTATTATCTCATTGGACATAAACACGGAGAATAGTTAACCATGCTTCGGATTTTTTTTTAATAACTTTATTTGTTAAGTGCAATCAAGTTCAGTTGATGGTATTTGTTAACTTAACTGAAATTTCAATAATTATTTTATAATAATTATGAATTGAATGACTTATTATAATGTTTAATTTTTAGGATCCAATTGTTCGAGTAAATAATTATATTAAGCACAGATTAGAAAGAGAAGCGGAATTGTATGACTTGATTAATAGAAGTCCATCAGGATCAATTTCTGAAGAGGAAATTGTAAATGAAATGTATAAGGCAAGTCTACATTTTTATTATTACTTTTTATTTTGTTATTATATGAATCATCATATTTTTTTAAATTTTTTTCAGATTATTCCCAATGATTACAGGAAAGTAGCATCATATATTGTGAAAAATCATCTTGCTAAATTAGTGAAGGACGGGAAAGTGGTTCTAATCAACAATAAATGGAAAGTCAAAGAATAATGAATTGTGCGATTCAATATTTCATAATTTTAAGTTGTTACAATTTTAGGTGTTTTTTGTAAAAAAAGGTTAAAAATAGAACAAAACCTTGTTATTAATAGTGTTAAGCTTGGGTAAATTTTAAATTTGTATAAGATAACAGTTAAAACTAGAGACTGGAATTATATGGAATAAAGTTGTAAGAATTATGATACATTAATGAATGGCAAGTGTCCAATTATGCATGCATCAACATAATAATGAAATAAACAATAATATAACTACAGTGAGTTCTTCTTATGTGATCACTGGTTTATGGAATCAATTGTTTATTGGAATAAAAACAGATAAATTCAAATCAAATCTTATATTACAAATGTTAAATTTATATTTTATTAAAATCAGTATGTACCTGATAATTGAATAACTCTTATGAATATTTTTTATTGGTTCTATGGCTTTTGAAACTGACATGTTAGGTGCAACAGCTGCTTTAAGTATTAATTATGTAAATTGTATTTTTAAACTTATGAGTGTATCAATATACATCCTGTTTAGTATAAAAATTGTTGAAGTGCTTGTTTTTCTCTCATTGCTTTGAACAAATGGAAAGATTTATCCATAAAACGTTTACTATTTTGATAAGTTGGAAAAATGTTCTTAAAGAGAAACCACATTTACATTTTGAAAATTTCCTAGCTTGTATTGAACAAAATTTCAAATATCTTAAAGCAAATTGATGAAATGGAGAGAAATGATGGTTTTATTGAGCTTTAATTTCAGGTTAATATAAAAATCAAATTATGAGTCCAAACTAAAATAAAATCAATAGGTTCTTTTTTTATTATAAATTAATTTTTTTAATTTTTTTAAAATTTTTTTTTGAAGCTTACCTACTGAAGCTTAAAGAATTATATAAAAAAAATGAATCAAAATGACTTGCACCAATGTTATGCTCCCACTGATCACATTTAGCGGAATTCTCTGTATAACTAATGAAATGATTATTGAACAATATATATATTTTTTTAAATATACAGTAACATTTCTATAGCAACAATATTTGTTTTATTCTGATTTTAATATCAAATTTTATAAAAAAAATGATTAAGTAGTTTATACTTAAAAGGAAATAACATTTGTATTTATTAATTGGTAATTTGTAGTTTTTCAATAAAATAATATATTATGGAGGTGTTGTAAAATTGTAATGTGTATAAAATAATAGTAAATATTTTAAATGATTTAGGTGTATATTATCAAATATTAAATGGAAAACATTGGATTTTTCAGTATTTAGAATTATTATCTGTTAATAAAAATTAAATGAAACCACTTTTTATTTTTAGTTTTAAATTTAATCTACCACCTTAAAATTAGTAATTTATTATAAAGTGTAACTTATCAACTTTACATTATTATTGTATATAATTAAAAATTCAGAACGGCAGATATATAATGATTATTTATTAAGAATGTAAGAAAAATAAAATGTTTGGCATAGACACTTTACAATATGTTGATATATTATGTTGAAAGAGTATTAAAATAATTTATGGTTTTTGTCAAATTTAATAATTTTGATAATATTACTCTTATTCTAGTCTTGTCTGTTATCATTAAATACTTCAAAAAATAAAACAAATTAATATGTTAAAATAATTTTAAATAGTGTTCACCCCATATTTATTGCCTCTGTTTTTACTTTCAGTAGTATTCATTCCGTTTTGTCCGTGATTTAATTTTAGAGTCAATTGATTGGTTACTATAATCAAATCAAATGGTAATAACATTATCTCTGAGTCGTCATTAGTTTTTTTGCATATTTTTTTATGCAATTTATGAGCGTTTTCAGATTTCATAAAATTTTGTTAACTTACACTGTTGATTTTATAAAACCAAATATTTGCATGCTAGAGTTTATCTATTCTGTACATTTGAAAACCAGTGCATAGACTGAACATATATTTTCTATATTATATGTGATTTTAAGACTGATATAACTAATGGCGGTGTTGGGACATGGTGTTCTTTTAATTGTATGCAGTAATTATGTCTGTTTTTTTGATCTATAATGAGTAGGTCCATTATTGAATAATATATTAAAAAGTTAAAATACTTACACGAGAAGTGTTTGCTTGAAAAATGTTTGTCAAACTAATTAATAATACAGTGAACAACAATTTTATTTATTCATTTGAAAACATTTTGTGAAGTATTTCCATAATAACTGATGTGTCACCCACTTAATTTTCAGAGTAATTTATGTTGATGTGATAACTTATTTTTTTTTAGAACATTGTTTCAATATATATATATATATTATATTATTATAAATATATTTATTTTGTATTGTATTTATATTGATCTTGTATTCTTGTCTTTTGATAATTTAAAATCATGTTTGGAACATAATCATAGATAATTACTATGTATATACTCTTAACCTGGTTAGATTAGTTATGAGTAGTTTTAAGGGTGACACCTGTCGTTATCGAGTGGCTTTATGTCTTGTGGTTATTTGTCGGGTGACATTTTGGCGTGTCACGGTTTTAAGTTGCTAGTTATTATTATTGTCTCTCTCGTATTGGCTGTTTTGATGGAATCGACAAATGTTGATATGATGATTTTGTTGAATAATGCTTAAGTAAATAGCAAGAATTAAGTAATTGTATCATAATTTCATATCAGTAGAGATTTCATATTTTGGTGGACAAAATTTGATATTATAGAGCATGAAATTAGTTTATGTCGTAAATAGGCTGAAACCATTGACCTTAAATTAGTATAAGGTCTATATGACTGAAGTCTGCAACAGACTAAGCTCCATATTAGAATAGATATCTTAGTTGGTCTATAGTATGATGATGTAAACACATGTTTATCACTGAAATAATATAGAATCCTATAGTTGAAGGTGAAGGTAATTGGCAGATAGTGATGATTGTACTTCATGAGTGACTTTTAATTTCAATATATTTACAGTTATTGAATGGCAATGGTGGCTCTTAAAATTACCCTATTCTCAATGACAATGTTACCTACTGAACCACATATAGTTCTGGGTTATTTATATAGGTAGATAGTTTACCTATAGGTAATCAGTAAATTTTTTTTCAAACAAACTGTTTTCTGGTTTGTGATTAGACTTTTAACTAGTGAACCATTACACACGTTTTTGTAACCACTAAAGAAGGGATTTTTAGTTTCTTAAAAGTTTAAAATATGATTCTTATATGTTCTAAAAAAACCCTTAAAATATTATTTTAATAATCCTCAAACTGGTAAAATATTTTTTTGTTAGTTCAAATTATTTAAAATTCTACACACTAGGTATATAATAGTTACAATAACAAACATAATACAGTGGGTTCCGCTTAATGTGATCGCTTTGGTGCAGGTCATTTTGATTCTACTAACCAGTTGATTCTATAAAACATTTAAAACATTTTTTTTTCAAATTTCAATCTTTTAAATATAATGACAAAATATTTAATGTAACATTCATAATAAATGACACAAGTACAAGACGCACAAAGATAATCGTATAACACAATAACATACAACGATAAACTGTCATACTAATAAGTTCAAAAATAAAATTTGGTTTATAAATTAATCAGTTTGAAATACCATAAAAACGATAAGATCGTTCATAAAGTGATTCAAATATCCGGTACTTAGTGATTCTAACAAAAGGTCAATTTAACATTAGTAACATACAATTTGGTTTGAGATTTTCATTTTTGATTCTACTAAACGGTTGATTCTATAAACCAGTGATCACATTAAGCGGAACTCACTGTATTATATATTTGTAAGTTACTTTAAATTTTATAAATCTGTAATATTTACAGAAAAATATTACGTTAGTAAATAACGTAAATAACGTAAATATTTACGTTTACCATAGAATTGCACATCTTACAATATGCTTAAACTTGAAAATTATTACTCAACTTTTTTTTGGTGCCAAAATTATTTAAATTCTATCACATTTGAAATAATTAATCGATATCCAATTTAATTATTTTCATCAATTAATTATTTCTTGGTCAAGTTATAAGGTAGGAATCCATCTAATTGCTCACATTTTTCTTACTTCAAAACGGCATCCAAATTTTAAAACAGTAGTTAGTTCGTTGTCAGTAGTCAGTATCGAGGTTATATTATTGGCGTATCTCCTAAAAGTGAACCATTGCATGGCTATAATAATTCCCAGTGACCAAATATCCTGCATTAATATTTATGAGATAAAACTTCTGTTAACTCATATTTTCGACGATTCATCTTATATTCACTTGACGATATATTAAACTTGAAAAATGAATAAACACAAAATACGGTGCATAAAGTATTATGTTTAGTACACCTCGATAGATTACCGTCGTTTCACCCTTGCAAGTATTAAGAGGAAATTTTGGTCACTGCTAAGTATTGGCAGTAGCCTGTTTAATCCCCTGTGGTTATTTATTAGTGATTACTAGAGTTTGCATGTCGATGACCTAAAAAACACACAAAATATCCCTAAAAAAATGCAAAAATGCCCAAAAAACTTAAAAAATTACCTTAAAAATGATCGTTGAAAAATGACGTTAAAAAATACAAAAATGCATTTATAGCTAAAAATTCAAAATAATTCAAAATAAAATAAGAATAATCTGCATCAAGGGAGCATGAAACGAATTTTTAGTTAGGATAGCATTGTATAGAAATATAGAATTAAAGGAAAAACAATGCAAAAGTCATCAACATCCTAACTCTTGTAATTTCCTACCTACTTGATGTTTAATACTCCAAAATTTTAAAACGTTACAAATCATTTCCTAATCTAGGTTACTTGAAAAACCGATTAAATATTCCTAACCACTCCAAAAAACCGGGGGTCAAAAAATTTAATCAATACAACTCATAATTTGGACATTTTTATCGTCTAATTTATACTAAGTACATTTGTGAAATTAAATGAAATATATTATTGTTATTAATCAATGTAAGATCAAACGTCGTATGGCTTTTATAACTCCCGATAAAATATATATTTACAGAAGAAAAACACATTTAGCTACCTATATTATTTTAGATTTTGACTGTAATTTATTGGTTTTATAATGTAAGTTTTTCTGTCTGTCGTCAAGTTTTGTATCAGTAAAAATGCTTCAGTTATCAAGTATATTTGATGGTGATTTATGATAGAAAATTGGATCTAGTTGCTATTTTAGTGGGTCTAAATTAAAAAAAATATTAGAACTTTTTTAAATACTCAGAAACTCAGGAAAAACAACGATTAAAATTGAAGAAAAACAGTACTTTTTTAGCAATACCATTAATTTTCAACTAAGTCTTTTTGTGTAACTAAAAAGTAAATACTTGACTGTAGATAGGGAGTTTAAACTTTCACCAAATTCTTTTATTAGCATGAGTATAATTTTTTTGGGTTTACATTTAAAATTCAAATTTTGACGAAATTCTGGATGTTTTTACAATGAATAACGATTTAAGTTCTTTGTGGTAATTTAAAAATATTATTTATGGGTACTCGAAATTTTTGACTTGTATCATACTTTGGTACTTAATTTTTTAATTTTATATTTTATTAATTAACGTCAGTTAACTTTTAAAACAATACTGACAAAAGTATTACAAAAAAAGTTATATTATACAATAAATAT